ATAAAGATTTTATAAAGATAAAGTAGGCATATGGTAGTTACAATACCCTTTTGATCATTTTTGAGTAATAATGTCATCCGTGATTTTTTTCTATTCTTCTGCTATCTTCCCTTGCTTTCAAGATTGGCCTGCTCCAAATATGCCCTTTCTTGATTTATACTAGTTTAATCATTTCTCTTAACTTCAACTTAAATACCATTTCTACTTTGTCATTTAGGCTACTGGAGACCAATATGTTAGTGCCTAAATATGTTGGTCTCCTTGTCATTGATGATGAGAATTATACTAGATTTAAGTGTTTGTGACTAAGGTGGTTTCCTGATTGGGACTTTTATACATTGTTTAAACTTTTATAGGAGATGGTGGTAATCATCATTAATATCTTTGTATTTCCCCACTTTCCCTTTATTTGGAATTAATGATGTTAGAACAAGTCAGATTGAAGTCATGATTGTTGGCAGTTTCCTCACTCAAGCTGCTATTGTATCACATGTACACATATGTACACAAATCTGCGTAAACACATACATGTATACATTTTTTTGTATACATGCAAAATGCAAAATAAATATAACTAGTTGTAGGAGGGAGGACACTAGCCCTTGCCAGGGCTTAAGAAGGGCATCATGTTGAAAGTGGTATTTGAGCTGTCTTGAAGAAAGTAAGGAATTCTGCAAGGTGAGTAGGAAGTACATTCCAGCCGGTGGGATAGCCAGTGCAAAGGCTCCAAGTGAAAAGATCAAGGACTGTGTGAGGAATAGCAAGAAGTTCAATTTGACTTGTGTAGAATAAGGAAAGAGGAATTATGTATAAAGGAAAGAAATATGAGGCTTTGGGCCGAATTGTAAAGGGTTTAAAAGCCAATCAGAAAAGTTTATATTTCTTCCTAGAGGCAAAAGGGAACCACTAGAGATAATTGAGTAGGGGGTATGTTCTGTGCTTAAGGAGAATGGCTTTGGCAGCTGTGTTTAGTGTGGCTCAGAGAAAGGAGTATTTGAGGTAGGGATCCCCTACCTCATACAGAAATGCATAGGAATATCTCAAATAGAAATGGCAAGGTTTGGCAACTGGTTGGATGTGTGGAATGTAGGATAATGAGGAGTCAAGGGTAATTAATGCTGACATTACAAGTCTGGGAGACTAGAAGGATGGTGGTGCCCTCTATAGAGACAGGGAAGTTCAGAAGAGGGGTCGGTTTTGGGGAAAAGATTAATGAGTTCTGTTTTGAATATGTGGAATTTGAGATGTCTATGTAACAATGTCATTTCATCTAGTACTGAAATTTTATTGAAATACTTATAGTCAGAGATATAATCATATTAATTAGTATCAATATAACCAATCAATTAGTAAGCATTTGTTAACCACCTAGGATGCGCCAGGTAGTGTGTTAGGTTCAGGGGCTACAAGGAAAAAAAAAAACCCTGCTTTTAAGGAGCTTACATTCTACATAGACAGCATGACCAGTGATAGGGAGCTAACTACCTTGCAAGGCAGCCTACTCCATTGCTGGATGGTTCATTGGAACTGTCTATATAAATGATTTTAGAATGTTTATATAAATGGTAATAAATTCTTCCATTTGTTGAATTGAAATCTACACCTTCCATTCACTTGTCATTTTACTTGTACCAATAGAGTGCTATTTCTTTGTAGGTACTTAGAAATTTTTTGGTGTTGATTATGGTGATACAAGTGTGGTAGGTGTATATCACCGAGTTCTATCTTTTTAAATTTAAAAGAGAGAAATTATGCTTAAATTGCGTATTGTAAAAACAAACATTTGTGAGAATATTAAATGTAGCCAAGGTTTAATTAAAGGCTTCTCAATTGTTAGTAATTGAAACTAAAATAACAAACTAAAAAAGTGATAGAGGAGTTGAATTAAAAAGCTTTGTTAAAAATCAATGTAATCTTTATAGGGGTTGAGATGGTAGCTCAGAGAAATGAGGCTGTAGTATTATGGAAACCATTCTTAAGGCCAGGAGTGTCTGTATTCATTGTCCGTGAGGGAGAAATCAGCTTGTTTAGGCTGTACTTCTGGATCACTGTTTATTTGTCTTTCATTCCCTACCCTTGCTGCTTTACTTAGTAATGGTTTCCTGTTAGCTTTCTTGAGTCTTGGCATCCTTATGGGTTCCCAGGGTTCATTTATTTAGAAAACAATGCATGGGGACCTTTCAGTTGGAGGACAACATAAAAATAGGGAGCAGTTGTATTACAACCTTTCTGAGCTCTTATCTTCACTACCATTAGATAGATTTGTCAGATTTTTTTCTAAGGCTAGAAAAGAAATAACAACATGGCTCATCTGCATAGCTTAATGAATATTTGATGTTTTTAAGGAACAAATGTGAAAAACAGCTTTTGTAATTGTAACAGTAATTGTAATTTGTATTTGAAAAAAACTTGCATTTAAGGATATGAAAATTTCATTTCAACCAGTATTTATTAGATGTCTTTTGTAAGACCGCAGTAGAGTAAGTGAATGTTGTTGTTCCTCCTAAGGGAATTACTGTTGTTGTTAGTCGTTCTTTGTTCTTGAAAAGGACAAATGACATCAGGAAGGTGACGTCTTGACTTTGGAGTGCATTGGATATAAGTGAGGCAGAGCTGCAGAAAGTCATCAGTGTCACTTTCTCCTCCTGAGTCATCAAAGTCTAGTGGCAAGACAAAGGTCAAGTTGACTGGAGATGGCCCAGAATGCAGTGAGTGACCTTGGCATTTCTAAATTAAGGTCTTTCCCAGGTCTGTTTGTCTGAGGACAGGCCCATTCAATGATGAAGGGGTAAGTAAGAGTTGAGACAAAAGATATCTCAATTTACCATTACACAGATATAATCTGGGAGGGGAAGATCCTCAAGTGTTTCTGGCCAACAGAAAAAAATTGCTATTTATCCTCATTCTAAGCCATCAAAACCTAAACAATGAGCCTCTGAGAGTTGGAGTGGGGCTATTCATATAGTAACTTATCGAAGATGTTTTCTACTGAAAGCAGATGTCCTGAAAACTCCTGCCCTTTTCTCTCAGAAAGCTCAGGATACAAGTAGTAGAAATCTTATAAATATTTATGCTTTTACACTTCAGATATGGCTATTCCTTTATAACCCATCCATGACTTCTCATCCTCTGTATTTCTTATCTTGTCTTGTACTTCAACACATTCTCCTCAGGGGGTTGATCCAGCTACTGGGTGCCTTCCTGTAGTTGTGGATGCTGTTAGAAGATACAGGAATGCCGTTATCCTTTATTCTCATAGTTATGACTGGGCCACCTCTTTTTCATGTTGCGTATTTCTCCTATGACATCCTCTGGACTGTTTCTTTTGTTCAATCTTTCCTTGATAATATGTTGCAACCCACCATGAACTGCTTTACAGCCCTTTGCAACTTAAATTCTTTGGAGACCGTGGGATTCCATGACTTGAATTCATATAACATCACTGCGAAATGTAGTCCTCTGTTTCATTGTATAAATTATTGATTGATGTATAGGGAGGTCTATGATGTGTGTTTTTCACCTCCATATAACGAAGTGCTCTCTTATCTCTTCAGACTCCACTGTGTCCTTTTTTTGGGTTGCTTCCACATGTTTGGCATGAGAAAACTTTTGCATTCTAGGCAAAGGACTAATTGCTTTCTGCCAAAAAGGAAGGGAACCACGGTGCCTAAAAATATGGGTTAGAGAGGGCTTTCCCTTCAACACTTCATACTTAAAATTGTGTGGCAGATTTGTTTGGAGACTCTTAATCTTTCACTTAAAATGCATTCAATGAAGAAGTATGTATTGAACATCTCTTCACTCTGTGTGTGTGCACACGTATGTGCTTCATATACAAAAAATATCAGACGAGGAGCCAGCAAAGAATTCATAGTATAATTGCTTTTCCCACACTTCCATGGTCTGTCTTTCCCAAACTGACACATCCTGTTTTATATTGTATTCTTATTGTATCATCTTATTTCTGTATGTTTTATACATTAGAACTTTCCCATGACATGATTTTCTCTACAGGAGAATTTGGTGTAAGATAGATTTGTTTTGGACTCAATTCTAGATAATTTAATTACTGAAATTGATTAGCTTAATTTCAATATATTATACAGGTTGAAGGTTATAATATAAATTATAAAATCTACAGTGTAGATGGAAGGATGGTTTGTCTCTGATGTATTTATTTTGAATATGACTGTATCTTTGTCTTTTTATTTGGGTGTTAATGTTGATTAAGTTTCTACAGGTCATCTTGTATTGGAAAAAAAAATTTAATTTGCTGCCTCATTACCTTATTTATGAAAATGTTTTTCAGTTCACTTAAACATTTATTAAATGCCTAATATGTACAAGGTCCTATCCTAGACTCTGGAGATGCAAAAAGAAATGAATGAAATAATTGTTATCTCAAAGATCTTTACTATTTCTATTAACAACTGTTTGGTTTTCCATCAGTTTTCTGTGAGGGGTCTATTTGATTTTTGCTTTGGAATGAATGCTTTTGAATGGCTTATAAAATATTGTTCTTCCTCAGGTGAAAATTATTTAGCAAAACTTTAGAATGACCCATTTGTAAAAGGGAAATTCTAGAATGTTTTCCCCCAAAGATCTATAAGTAGCTTTTTTTTTTATACTGCTCGGAGATGGCCTTCAGCGTTCTTCTATGCGGGGTAGAGAATGATCTCAAATACCTTCTAGCCCTTTCTTTCTGTGTTTGTGCTAAAGTGCTTCACAGAGATGAAGATCTTGATCATTCTAAGTCAGGAATACTTCTATAAATAATGTTTTGATCTGCTATTTTTTTTTATGTTGCCTTATTCAGATTTTTTTCCCTCAGGGGTAAATTCTGCTGAGATTCTGTGAATACTCTCAACTAGTTAGCTATTGTGATTGATTTTTGACTTAGGTTTTTTGCATGATGCATCTCTATTGTACTTAGTCTTTGAACACTTGACTGGAGGATAGGTTTATTTACTTTGAACTCCCTGTTTATTTTTATCTCAAAGGTTCTGAAACAGAAACACTTGGATGATCACCTACGAAAAGTATCTGTAAGAAGATTTGAATCCTTTAAATTGTTTTCAGTAACAGAAATAAAAAAGGAAACGGAAGACGAAGCTGGTGGCTGGGTTCAGTATACAAGTGTGTTTTATCCTGAATACAGTATTTCTTTAAGGTAATTATCATTCTGCTCAAGATTTTTTCTTACAAATCATTTTTATCTCTTGCCCGTGAACAGTAACTTTATCAGAATCTCATTATTCATTTGGGGAATGTCCATGCTAGTTAGAGCTAACAAGCAATCTGAATCAGTTCTTAGGTTTTGCAGGACGTTTTCCTGCTGATTTCATTGGGTCTTGCTGTGTTGCTAGTACAAAGAAAAAAATATCTGAAATAACTCAGGGATATTTGAGCATTCTGTGGGTTGCAAATCAAAAGGTTCATTTAATCTTTTCCTTATAGCTTTTGCTAGTGACACAAAGTAAAGTTCTCCTTGATGCAAAGAAGGCTAAAAGTGAAAACAAGATTTTTCTGAATTCCACTGCTCTCCAAGTACCTGAAAATCAGGTTTTTTTTCCCTTCCCTTTGACATTTTTTCATCTCCAGAATAGAGCCTCAAGAATAGAGAGAGAAAGTTCAGCTGAAGACATTGATATTGTATGAAGCAGTGGAGACAGTAGTACCTTTTAAAATGATTATGAAAACAGAGAGGGGAACAGTTAACTGCAGTAACAAGATGTCTATTTTACTCAGTTAATTTTCTGACATAGCTGTACTGTATAATGCTACTGGAGGTGTTTAATTTTGTGTTCTGACAAGAGCATACATTTTGAAAGGGAAGGAGGAGCAGTTTTACAGGAGCTTTGTGAAGGAGAAAGATCACGTTTTATGTGGAAAATATGACTGAATGAGGATAAAATAAGGTGATGATGAGTTTTTAAGAAGAAAAAAATCACCTTCACAAAGGATATCTATTCATAGTATGTGTTTTGTGGTATATTTTAATTCAAAAGAAAAAGCTAAGCTTTATAAGGCGGTTGCACTAAATACAATTTTAGGGTTTGGTAGTGCTTGGGCAAGTGGAGAAGGATATTTGGGATCTATTTTTATGATTTCCTTGTGTTGTCGAAGACCTCAAATAGAAAATCAAAATTTAGAGATTTTTAATCCTTTTATAACGCTTAACACTGATCAAAGCTTTATGTGATCCACTTGCAGCGAGCCCTGAGAATAGGAAAGAAAATGACTGTGTTGAAAAATAGTGTCTTTGAGGAAAGATTAAAAGAAGGAAAGAATAAGGGGCAATCTAATAATAGTTTTCAAGAATAAGACAGATTATTACAACAGAGGTTGCCGATCAGTTATTTTCTATATCAGTTGAGGAAAGAATAAGAGAAAAAGAGTTTAAACTCTAGCAAGAAGAATTTTAAGCTCTGAGAAAGATTAGTCAGGGAGGACAGTAATAATAATGACAATTCACATCGATATAGTGCTTTAAAGATTATAGAGTACTTTTCTTATAACAACCCTATGAAAAGTACAAGTATTGTCCTTCTTTTGTGGATGAAGAAACTGAAGCTCAGAGGGGTTAAGAGTCTGAGTCATAATCATACAGTTAATGATTTTTGTAGCCTCGAACTTAGGTCTCCTGACTTCAAGTGTGACACTCTTTTCACTCATCCATGCTGCCTCCCTAGTGGATGTGGACTCTCCATTCCTGGATGCATTTTAAAATCGTTACCGATCTATTTGTGGTATCTTAAGTACAGTGATTCTGGGAAGCAGAGGGATGAGTTAAATAACTTCACTCATTCCAACAAAATAAGTGTAGTCTTAGTATCGTACCAAACTGGTTACTCAGTGAATATTTTTTGAATGAATAAAATTCTGTACTATATGATATAAACATTGTACTTTATGGAAGTTTTTGCTTTGAAATTCTGCCAAGATAACCTTTGCTTTTTGTATGTTGTGGAATTCCAGAAAACTGGACTGAGAATCTGTAGATAATTGCTGATTATGTGAAGTGACTAACTCACTTAATTTTATTGAGCCTCAGTTTCCTAATCCAGTAAAAAGGGTAATGCTTATAACTCACATTTATACAACAGGGTAAAATTTGCGAAGATGCTTTTCCCACAACAGTTGTGTGGGGTGGTTAGTGCATAGTTTATCAATCCCATTTTACAGATGTGAAACTGAAACTCACAGGTTAAATGATTTTCCCAAATCATAGAACTCCCAAGTGTTACAGCCAGGATTTAAACCCAGGCCTTTTGACCCAAAGGCCATCACTCTTTTCACTATAGCTTGCAAGCCCTCAGTATTCCAGCTTGCTCATAACTTTACCCTCATAGAGTTTTTGTTAAGTATCAAATGAGAAAATGCATGTTAAAATACTTTGTAAACTGTGGCACTCTGTACAAATGCACTAGTGTTACTATTGCTTGTTCTTTCCCTCTGAGATGTCCTCCAGTGTACTCTGTATTGGTTTTGTATAGACATACTTATTTGCATATTGTCATCTCCATTAGAATGTGGGCTCCTCAGGGCAGGGACTGCGTTTTTCCCTTTATTTTCTTAATACGTAGCACAGTCTCTCATACACAAAGTAAATGTTTAATAAATGCTTGTTGCTTGAGTGCTATCACTGTTAGTTAATTTCATAATCAGTGGCACAGTTCTTCAGACTCTAACCAAGGCTGACTGCTTATGACTGAAAACAAAAACTTGTTCATTTTTGTCAGCTGGGATCTTCATCCTGATCTGGAGGGTGGGGTGCCCTTATCGGGGTAGCAAGCGTCATGAAGCTGAGAGGGATGACTAATGTTTTGGATCATAGTCAGGATCTAGAGAGATCTCTGCAGGCCAGAATGATGGGTCAAATCTAATGAGCTGGAGTGTATTAGGAATAAATATAAAGTCCTACATGTAGGTTAGTTCAATTCAGTCCACAATCATTTATTGATTTCCTACTTGGTGTAAGACATAGTGATACAGGAAGACAAGACACAGTATAGTCTCTGCCATTAAGGAAATTACATTCTCCTAGAAAGAAACAACATACTTATGGGTAAATAAATACAAAATGTGAAAAAGGTAAATGCAGAGTATTTTTGGTTAAAAAGATAACCTGCACACATTGCAGTCCTATTGAAATATGTCTAGACAGCAAGCTGCAAATTCATTAAGAGTCGACAGGGTGACATGGCAGCCCCCCAAAAGCTGGAGTGTTTTTGGACTGGATTAACAGAAACCTAGTATAGAGAACAAGGGAAGTTATAGGGCGACACTATTCTATTCAACCTTAACCCACTGGACTATTTGTGTTTAGCTCTGGGCACCATATTTTGAGAAAGGCATTGACAGTCTGCTACATGTCCACAGCAGAGCAATCAAGATGGTAAGGTGATAAGAGATGATTTCATATTAGGATCAGTTTAGGGGACTGGGAAGGAGAAGAGGGATGTGTGTGTGTGTGTGTGTGTGTGTGTATCAAATTTTATATATATATATACACATTATATATGTATATATATACATATATAATGTGTATATAATTTGTGTATAGATATAGATATATATAGATAAGCAAAATTTGAGGAGGGAGAGAATACTTTTAGCTTAGTTGACCAGTCATGGCTTCATAGAAGAGTTGGTAACTAAGCTCTCTCTGGAAAGAAGAGAAGGATTCAGAAAATGTTGATAGAACAGCTTGTAGTTCAACTTGACTAGAATGTAGAGTATGTGAAAAGAAGGAATAGAAAATAAGGGTTGGCAAAATTATAAGGAAAGCAGAAAACCGGGAAAAAGTTTTTGCAACAAATATTTCTGACAAAGATCTCATTTCTCACATATAGAGAACTGAGTCAAATTTATAGAAATACAAGTTATTCCCCAATTGATAAATGGTCAAAGGATATGAACAGGCAGTTTTCAGACAAAGAAATCGAAGCTATCTACAATCACATGAAAAAATGCTCTAAATCACCATTGATCAGAGAAATGCAAATTAAAACAATTCTGAGGTACCACCTCAGAGTAGCTAATGTGACAAAAAAGGAAAATGTTGGATGTTGGAGGGATGTGGGAAAATTGGGACACTAATGCATTGTTGGTGGAGTTGTGAACTGATCCAGCCATTCTAGAGAACGGTTTGGAACTGTGTCTGAAGGGCTATAAAGCTGTTTGTGCCTTTGATCCAGCAATACCACTTCTAGGTTTATATCTCAAAGACATCCAGGAAAGGGGGAAAGGGCCTATTTCTACAAAAACATTTATAGCAGTTCTTTTTGTGGTGGCTAAGAATTAGAAATCGAAGGGATGCCCATCAATTGGAGAATGGCTAAACAAGTTGTGGTATATGATTGTAATGGAATATTATTGTGCTATAAGAAATGACAAGCAGGATGATTTTAGAAAAACCTGGAAGACTTACCTGAACTGATGCATAGTGAAGTGAACAGAACTAGGAGAATGTTGTACACAGTAACAGCAGTGTTTTTCAGTGAAGAACTGTGAATGACTAGCTATTCTCAGCAATACAATGATCTCTAAGACAATCTCAAAGGACTAGTAATGAAGCATAATATCTGCCTCCAGAGAAAGAACTAATATTGATTGAATACAGACTGAAGCATGCTATTTTTCACTTTCATTTTTTCTTTTATTCGACTCTTCTTATACAAAATGACTAATATGAAAATGTTTTACATAATTGCACATGTATAACCTATATCTGAATGCTTACTTTCTCAGGGAGGCAGGAGGGAAGAAGGGATAGAATTTGGAATTCAAAACTTTAAATAAAACTGTTAAAAAAAAAGCAATAGGAAATGTAGTTTTAAATCTAAGTTTATAGGGTGTAATCTCAAATTTTTGAGGTACTTATTTTTTCTATAATACAGTCAATAAATTCACGTACTTCCTGAAAAACAAAAAAGAAAATGAGGTTGGAAAGGTAGATTGAAGCCAGAAGACCTTAAATAACAGAAATTTGTATATTTTATTCAGTGGGCAATAGGATGTTATTAAATGTGTCTGAGGCTTGTGATCCTTGTGTGACATTGTCAGTGCCTTAGTAAGTTTTGGTAATCATGGAAAGATGAACTTACTTGTAAATGGAATTGACATTCTTTCATCCAGTTCAATCCAGTAAACACTTATTAAGCAGCT